TGGCCATCCGAATCCTGCATTTTGGCAGAGCACTAATGGCATTTTTTGAAGCATGTTGTCGATATGATGCAAACATATGATGGAGGTGCTGAAGAAGATGATTGATCAGGAAAAAGGAGACAAGGATAGATGAAGTTCCTAACAAGCTGCTGCTGTTGTAACTCAGCGTGTGCCTTCTGTATCTACTAGTGCTAGTAGGAGGAAACGAGGCTTGGAAGAGGAGGACGCTCAGCAGCAGCTGAAGCGCATTAGGGAAATGTTCCTAGAATCTAGTGATGAGGAAGAGTTTCAGGGGTTTACTCATGAGGAGATGGAGATGGAGGATTACCGTGGTGTAAAGCGAGTAGCACGCAGTTCTGATAGCGATGAGGAATCCATTTCCAAGCGTCTTAAAGACATAGCAGATAGCTACGGGTCTGAAAGTGATGATGAAGAGCTGGACTGGACTAGGGTCCAGGAGGTTCAGGATGTGATTAATGCTCCAACCTCCAGTGGGGAGTTCCAAGGGTTCACAGACTCATGGGTTTCGGATACTGCTTCTCAGGATGCAGCCCGGAGTGCAGATTGGCAGCAATGGAGGGAACGCAGTTCACCTGTGGAACTGGATGCACCTGGAGGCGAATCTAGTGATTCTGATGGGATTTAAGGAGTAGCCTTGGGTCCATTATGTTGCAGAGTTCAAAGTGTTGTGTACCTGTGTATCCTGCTGTTAACTCTTGCCTTGAGTCCTTGCATCCAGAATCGTGTTTCCGTGATCGTGCTGACTACTTTGCCTGGCTTGGAACCGTGAGTCTTGTCTCCTGCCCTGACCTCTGGACCGTCTTGACCATTCTTCATTCCTGCCTGTCTCCAGCGTGGACTTCGGACCGCTCCTCATACTGCTTTTTGTGTTGTGATTTTTGAACTGACTGTGTTCCGTTCTAACCACGAACGGTTTTGCCTGCTTTACTTCTGTTTTCCTTTTTGCTGCCCAGACTGCCTGGGTTACTGTTTGTTTACATTCCTGCAAGCCGCAGGTTCCTTTGTTTACCCGCTCTGCTGAGAAGAGTCCTTTGACTTGTTAATTTGCCATTAACCACCCTTTGTTAACCCTTAAGCTGCTGTTTTGCCTCGTTGCTCTGCCTGGGTCCTGACAGCTGCAGTGGTGGACAAAAAGGAACTGAAGAGCCTTTGGCATGAAGCACTTGTATGCCCTGGAAGAATGGGCAGGGTTACTGCCAAAATTCAAATACTAGCACTTGGAAAGGTTTCCATTGGAGCATACGCAGGCACACTTAAACCCAGTTGTATGATTCACAGAGACCACGATGAAGAAACATACAGGCAATAAACTAAAATAAATTTCAGGGTACATCCAGGCAAGTGGATGTACCGTGTTAGTTTCCTCCTTAACAGAAGAAGAAGGGAAATGTAGGTCTCATATCAACTCCTTCCATATTCATGCCTCTAGGACACAGGTTGTATTGCATGGGATCAACAAGATTTTTCTCCTAAGCAGCTTCCACCTGACTTAGAATGAGCTAACTAATGCAATTGAAGAAGACAGCAAGGATAGCTGGTCATGCCAGGCTGTTCAAAATGCTAGCCTGAAAAACACAACAAAACCCAGATTTGCCACTCAGTCTTCAATACTGAGAGAGCTTCATACAACCCTTGTTCTCTGAAAAGTCTACTTCTCAATGACAATCTAGCTTCATTCATATATTTTATTTCTAGGTATACAGGTAAAGAAAAATGGGGAAAATCAGGCTACTGAGTGCTCCCTCAATCCCAAAAGTCTCAACAGACAAACTCTGTTAGCTTAAGACATCTAAAATTGGTATGATTTACAACTCAATAATATTATCTACTGACACAGAGGATTAAAAGTAGTGAGTGCTTGATTCTGCCAACAGAACAAACTACAGAACAATTTACAATTCATCTCTTTTGTAAGGGGTACACTGAATTGTTTGGATAAATGAGTAACCTGGCTGATTAGGTCTACCTGCTGCTACCCAGCCATTATTACAAAGCATTGGAGCTCATCATCTAAAGGTGCCACCATATAATCGATGCCATCTTCCTAATCAATAAAGACTACAGCCCATCACAACCAGGCATGGTCATGGTCATTTCTATATTTGGGAGGTAGGAACACTCAGCAACATGTCCTTTTATGGGCCTCCTATTCTAGAGTGAGTGAACATGACAAGGAGCAAACATCATCAACATGACCCATTCACCTGACCCCATAAGAAGATAGGCAACAGAGGCAGTGACAGTGCTGCAAGGAGCAACAAGTGGCACCCGCCCTTTCAATATATTCAGGCAAGCTGGGGAGAAGGTACTATATGGAAAAGATTCTACAATCTAAAGGAGCCCAGATCTCAAAGGGTGTTCAACTACCACAATTTATTAGTGATCAAGGACAGCACTGTTCAGCCCTTCTTAAGCAATATATCCCTTCAAGCTGCCCAAAGATGCCAGTGCTGAGACTGAGTCTTATTTCTACATTTACACTAGGGTAAGTTTAAAGCAGGGATCATAATCCCTAGTTGTTACAACTCCTTTGAGCTGTGTCCCACTCCTAATGCTGTAGGAATTATGTCTTGCACAGCCACCATGACATGGAACTTATTTGTACAAGGTGAAAAGCCCCAAAGCAATTCATCAGAGAACCTGCGTTCCTCTATGACCAAAACATTAAAAAAAAGTTTTTCCCGAGAATAACATTTACCTATATATAGAAATTTCATTATTGCCATTGTTGTTATTGACATAAAATTGCAGTAGGGATGTGGGAAGTGAGGACAAATAAAGACATTACTTCCATTAATAGTTGAAAATTGTGCAAACTTTAAAACTCAACATAATGAATTTTCAAACTGCAGTAGTATTGTTAGAAATAAATGGTATTGTAAGAGAAAAACTTAATTTCCATCAAAGCAATAATCCAATCATTTCTTATTATGAATATCCAATGTCCCACACAAAAAGCTACTGAATACCCTTAATAGCATAGACACCACTGGCCAAGAAACACTATTTCAGACCAGTCCACTATCTACAGACTAGCAATGGATTCTGTTCTCAACTGCAAAGCTTCTCCCAGTATTCTCCAAAAAAAGCCCTCTTAATCTCACTGGTCATCGTTTTAAAAGTGCATTAAAATAAGAATATATAGTTAATGCTGTTACTACAGTAGAAAAATAGAGAACTCCAATAACTCACAACATGACATGCTTACAATCCTAGAATTAGAGAACCAAATATAATTCTCTTCCTTCTTCTCCTCCATTTTCATCTTAAACATTAGGCTTCAAAAACATTCAGATGGGATTTGGCACTACATTTTGTGCTTAAGAGAGGATTTTGTTTTGTTTTGCCTACCCATTTCCGGCAAACTATGAAGTGCCCTCATCTGCTTTTTGGCCATTTCCAAGAAGCATTCACTCCAATGTATTCAATTCATTACATGAGAAACACTTAATGATATATGGTAAGGCCATCTTATATTTCAGCCTGGGGTTGATAATGGAGGTAGAGGGAACCAGTTTCAAGTCATAATTTAAGATACTGGTAATAAGCTTAGATCTTTTAAAAAAAATTAAGAGAAGACATGGAATAGAAAACCTAGAAATCAAATAATCTACCTGGCTTCCCGATAAGGACATACACTTGTGTAAGTTTTCTTTGTGTATGCATACATATACTGCACAACCTCCACCCACCCCCCTCCTGTGACCATTCTGTGCTTCACAAAAAGTAGGAGGATCACAAAAGTGTTCCCTGTACCAGATACAAAATAATGATATCAGTTCTGAGATCTGCCAGGATCCTCTAGGGATGTAGCAAGATGCTTTGGGGGTCGTGCCTGCTCCCTGTGAAGCAAGGAATGCCGTGTATGTGTGTGTGTGTGTGTGTTTGTGTGTAGCATGGGATTCTGAATCTTTCAGTAAACCAGGTGTTTGTATATGTTTCATCCCACCATAGGGCTGCATATCAATCCACTAAGCTGTTTGAGCCATACAGGATTGCCACCTGTAATATGAAAGCATATTGAAGAGGTTTCTTAAGGGTTCACTTTCACTCCTGCAATCTCTTGCATACCCTACAACATCTCCAAAGCCAGTGACAGAGATGCTGTAGTTTATTTGCACTATCTCTATTCTCACATCCCCTTGGTTTCACGGTAACTAATTTGATTGCCATGTGCTCAAAACTGAGGCTTTCTCTTACATACTGTACAATTTTATTTTGCAATCACATACTGATTTAATACACACCAGGGTATTTTTTCTGTTTAGTAAAATATTCTTAAAATGCAAACAAACAAACAAACAAACCCATCTATTTTAAAATTTGAACATGAAATTACAGCATATGAAATGTTACACTGGGCACGACACATACTTTTTATTCAAATATATTGTTTAAATTAATATACATTTATTATTTTATTTATAGTCTGCTTTTTCTCTCTAATAAGAGAAGATGAACGATGCAAGCTCCACCCTTATTCACCAAAATTCAACCTCTAAGGGCCCTGAGAAAGGGACAGGTCACAGCAATACTAGGAACTCATACTACTTTAAAAAACAAAAGGGATACACCAAGAACAATATCTTATTAATCCAGAAAAAAATAGCATTCCATTTTCCTAAAATCACGCTTCAAAACCCATTGGTGGAATCATAACAAATGGAATCAGGAGAGCAGTTCAGGAAATATATTCTGAACTACCAATTTAAAAAAAATTACTGGAGCCATAACCTAATAAGGATCTTCCAGTAATCAACAGAATCACTGGAGGACAGATATTCTTAAGCAATCTCTGATAAAAAGAGAGCCACTCCACAATGGAGCAAATTCTCATGATATTTGTAATGGAAATTGTGCCCATAACTTTGAAAAACCATTTTAAAACAACAGAAAGCACAGCCCCTTCCATACTAGGATCAATCCCAACTTCTCCTCCCACGTCAGATTTCTCAAAACACTACTACTGAAACACTCACGCAGATGAGCCGGGAGTCTGATGGCATCTTCCTCCATTCTGGCTCCTCGAGACACAGGGACATGTAGTGGGGACGATGAAGTGTAACTTGCTTCTGGACTCACTGGAGGGGTATATGAAATTCTTTCCTGCTGTGAAAGGGGGGAAAAGATTTTTTTAAACTAAATATTGGAAGAAATAAAGGCAAGGAGGAAACTAAAACAACAATCACATGAAGAAATAAAACTCCACAATAGAGGACCACTGACAGATAATAAAATGTCCACTTCTGGTACAGCTCTCCCAGTACACATTCTGCATATCTATTAATTAAACTGCTTTAGCACATTTCCCAGTTTATTTTTGCTGTGACTAAATGATAGAAGCATTACAGAGTGCCTAGTCTATGGAGCAGATTCACGGTGTAGGAGGAATATAGAATTTCAGCCCTTTCCACAGCCTTAAACTCACATCCATTGGTGAGTCTGTAGCTTCTGGGAAAACAATACTCAGGTCAGATTCACATTACAGTGTTCATCAGAACAAGGAAGACGATGATCTTCCCTCAAATTTCCCCTAGAATTAACTCACCTATTAAGTTTTACAATATAATATGACCCCCCCCCCAATACCTGCAGAACCAATACCCTCAGATGCATTCCATACGCACGTTCTATACCCGAAAAAAATATGTCCTCTCTAAGCATTTTCTAGGTCTTCCGGTGCAATTATATGGTATGCTTCTGCTGGACATTGACCATTCAATCATGCTGGAAGACATAGAAATGCTAAAGAGATGACAATTGACAGCTAAACAATAACTGTGCTGCCAATAAAAAAACCCAACAACTTGAAAATCACTGTGCTGCCAATAAAAAAAAACAACAACTTGAAAATCACTGACAGCAATTAATTCTTGTCATGGCCTAATATAATGTTTGAAGTGATCTCTTGAAGCAAGCAGCCTTTGACCTTCTCATTATCCCACTGTAGATGTGAGCTCAGAATAATCTCACATTCTTGATATCACCCTCCAACTAAATAATGAACATATAAAACCACTTTACACTTAAAATATACAGGACATGAAATTTCCATGCAAAACTTGCTACAAACCTATAGCCAATGTCTGATGGCGCATGAACATGTGTTCAGATTTGTGGGATAGAAACTTAAATTTGCATCACCTTTTAAACCAGTGGTTCTCAACCTGTGGGTCCCCAGGTGTTTTGCCTTCAACTCCCAGTAATCCCAGTCATTTTATCAGCTGTTATGATTTCTGGGAGTTGAAGGCCAAGACATCTGGGGACCCAGTTTGAGAACAACTATTAAACTGTAATGCCCACCCAATGAAGTGAGGGATGGGCATTATATTAAGACCAATCTGGTACAAAGAAACAATGTTTGCAGACCTAGAATAAAGGACAGCAGAACACTCAAAAACTATTTATGGGGGGAGGGTACATTTTATCAGAGGGTAAAAGACCAGAGGTGCCCGAAGTATAAAGCACCCTGGCCTAGGCTGCAATCTCATGACTGTGATCCAAATATTGAAGATCCAACATGGAGCCTTTGTCTCCAACTCTGGAAGACCAGAGTTCAACTCCCCACAGTGGGAAACCCACTGAGTGACTTTTGACAAGTCACGCTCTCTCAGCTTCAGAGGAACATGATAGCAAACTGCCTTTGAACAAATATTGCCAAAAAAACCCAACAACCTCAAGAAACAGCTAAAACTGCATCCTGACACTATGTTAACTAACACTAGTAAGCAACAACAATACAAACATCAAATATAAAAATAGACCTTAATTTATAAAAAAAAATTGAATGCAACATTCTTGCACTATCATTATTTCAGCTCTACTATACAATTCTGTTATTCATCCTCCAGATAGCTATTAAATATCTATCCTGTATGTGTGCATTTATTTTCAAAGGTGTCTTTTCCCAAATTGGTCACTGCCTTGTAACACTGAGAAATTTATTTAAAGTATTTAAAAGTAACTGTTATATTTTTCTACTTTTCCAAAATGGGAAAGGAAATAGTATCTATACCTGCAGCAAACTATTTTAAGGAACTTTGAAATCATAACTGCAATGTGTGACGAATTAGACAATGACTTTATAAAGTAACAGTTCTGGGTGGAGAAATTTTAAAATGCATCCTCTATTCCCACCACTATCACAAGCATGGCTAGTGGGGACACAAGAGAGGACCTTCTTGGGCTGTCCTTCTGGAAGCATGCTAAAACCTTCCTATTCAGGAAGACTTTTAAAGATGAGTTTTTAAGGATGAGCCAGGGGTGATGTGTAGTGTTTTACGTATTTTACCAGGGCTTTACTGGCTTAACTATTTATTGTTAATAATTCCTATGTTTAATTTTATGTCCATGTTTATATGTCTTAGGTCTTAAAGTTTTAGCACAGTTAGCTGCTCTGAGTCTCTTTTAAGAGAGAAGTAGCAACATATAAAAATACTACTACTACTAATATTCCTTGAATCACATCAAGTCACCCTTTGTGGCTCCCTTTCAGTACTTTTTAGTCTTATCTGCAGACTGTGAACCTATCCCTCTTCTAAAATTTGGGTAAAGTAATTCTCCACCTCCAAAAAGAGTCTTGATGAACGGTTCTAGGAAAGAATACAGCAGTGGTCTTCTACATGCTCTTAAGTCTTTGGGATAGAACAGCCTTTAATTCAAATGAGAGGCCAAAACCCTGGGGCTCGATAAGAAAAATCCATTATACCTTTTTAAAGGCCAGAACTGCAGGAAACAAGTAAGGAAACTAAAATTAGCTGTAGTTGGAGCCTGGAAGCTCCAAACATCCAAACACTTCCATTAGCCAGCTGGCATGTCTCCTAAGGGAATGCCAAGCCTGAGAGTCCTCTTGCTTTCAGTCAGGCATGCCAACACCATTGCCGGGTCTTCACATGAAAGCAAACAAACATATAGTATTGCACATCAAATATACAGGACAAAGTCTGAAGGCACACGAATAAGACAAACTAGCTGAAACTAGGTGAGAATGAAACTGGTTAGTTGGAATGGAGGCAGCCTGCATCCCAATTAAGAGAGAAACAGAAATATAAATACTGTAGGCAAAATTCACTGTTAACATTTTCGAGATGAAGCTGAAACAGTATGCCAAACAAGTGGTTAAAGTCTTGGAGGGAAGACTCCAAAGGCAACAACAAGAGAGAATAGAAAGTGGAAGAGCTAAGGAAAGCATGCCTTTAGTGGGTAAGTTTGTTGAAAGGGCAAAGGCAGCAATTTTGGTGTTTCTTCTTGGGGGTGAGTTGTGCTATTTGAGCAACAAAACAGACAGATAACGTTTAAACAGGGTTGAAAGGTTGGATACAATCCATGCTTTGCATGGAAGTCCGTCAGACTGCTGTTTGTTATCAAGTCAACTTCAACTTATGGTGACCCCAGGAATGGGACTCAGGGCCATGGCTTTACTTGATTGAGTCTAACCATCTGCAATGTAGCCTCCTTCCTTCCCTACTGTGTTTTTTATCTTCCCAAGCATTATTGCCTTTCCTTGTGGGTCATGTCTTCTTATGCTCTGTCCAATAAGACACTCTCAATTCAGCCATCTTGGCTTGTTGCGACAGTTCAGATTATAGGAGCCATTTATTTGTCTATAGCAGGGGTCCTCAAACTTTTAAAGTAGAGGGGCGGTTCATGATTCCTCAGACTATTGGGAGGCTTGGTTACAGTTTGAAAAAAAATTGAATAAATTCCTATGCACACTGCACATATCTTATTTGTAGAACAAAAATGGAATAACAATATAATATTTAAAGTAAAGAATAATTTTAACTAACATAAACTTAGCAGTATTTCAATGGGAAATGTAGGTCTGCTCCTGGCTGATGAGACAGTTAATTAGGATTGTTGTTGTTGTGTGCCTTCGAGTAGTTTCAGACTTAGGACAATCCTATATCTAAAATTTAGGGCAGAAGACAGGTAAATGACTGTGGTGGGGACCCCTGGTCTATAGTATATGTAGAACTCTTCTCCGGTACTATATTTCAAATGAGTTTGCTTTCTTTCTATCAGCTTTCTTCACTCTCCAGCTTTCACAAGTGCATAGAAAGTGAAAATATGATGGCATGGATAATCTTTATGATTCAATTATATATCATAACACTTCAGCATCATATCTATTTTTCATAGGTGTCACCTTCTTCAGATTTCTTGACTGTAATCTCCATTCTGATTAATAACTGAACCAAGGTATGGAAAAGTATGACCTATTTAAATGTCTTTCTTGTCTTTAAAAACATACAAATAATTTGTCTTCATTGTTTGTTTTCTTAATGTTCAACTATAAACATAACTTTGCAGTTTCTTCCTTAACTTTGTTCAGTAATTGTTACAAGTGGTTGCTATTTTCCGTTAGTAGTACAATGTCTACTGCATATATTAAATTGTTGATGCTCTTTCCACTAATTTTCACACTTTGTATATTTGAATCTAATCCTGCTTTATGGACACCTATGTTCTGACTCCTCTTTAAATCCTATTAGCTAGGCTCGAGCACAAGCAGCAAATCCAGTACTGGCTTGTAAGTCAACACATAGGTAAACTTCAGTGATTCAGTGAGTCTCTCTCTAGTTGGAAGTATTCAAACCAATCATTCTTTAAAAATTTCAGCTGGCTGCTTAGGATTCCCCCACTGTACTAGGATATTTTACATAAGGTTTAAAGCTTGTTTTAGGCTTCATTTCAGTCCATGTTAAGCCAGGAATGTGGACTTGTGTCTGTTGACAGGCAGTGGCCTCCCAGAGTCACTCAGGCTTGCTTTTTGAGATCTTCAATTTGGAGTTTCCAAGGTATGAACTAAAGACCTGCTCCTGTAAAGCACGTGAATTACACTAAATTGATGTAAAAATGCCAAATGGTTGCCAAGTGAAACTACTGTGTGCTGCGTTCCCTTTGTAACAGATGCAGAAATAATCAGATGAAGAGGCAATCATAATTCTAGCATATAATATGGGCAAATCACCATACATTATGTTGTTAATTTAGCACAATGTGGCTCAGTACCAGTGTCATAGCTTCCAGGCTCTTTTAATAATGTACTTTAAACTTCAACTGATTAACAATTAGATACTGCAGCTTAATACTGATGAAGAATAAGATCCAAGTCATTATTTACTCCATGTTCATGTATATTTCTCCAAGTTCCATTTTGTAGGTTCTCATGTGGTGAAAACTATTCTTTTCGCTTATTTTTGTTTTGTTTTTTCTTCTTTGATTAGGAATCGGACAATCCAACCCACAAGAAACTCTTCTTACAGAACCTGGGTAATGATGTTTCCTTGTTCCCCATCTATGCTGCCTCAAGACACAAAATGCCCAATTGTTGATATTCTCATCTTTGTGCAACTAAAATGTCTATATGTGCATCTACATTCTCATTTTTACACTTTTGATCTGCCAAACTGGAGTGCAGATCCCACAAATGAACAAACGAAATTTGAGACAGTTGTGCATGATGCAATTGTCTTGGCTATGCAAACATTTAATTCTACTTCTTGTAATTTGCAGGAAGTATTGCAACCTTGCCAGAAACAAGACAATCCTGTGGAAAATAATGAAGTCTGATAGTAACTGTAAGCTTTGTATTAATTGATGGTGTTTGTGGCCAGCAGAAACATTCTATTTTTGCATAGGATCTTCATTTCCCTGAATGCCTTTTTCATCAACCAATAGGACATTGGGTCCCATCTATTAATGTTCTGTCTGCCTATGTCCACAGACCTAGCATAAAATCTCTATGTCTTTTTCTCATAAAATCTGTGTCTTTTTCTCAAGGAGGCCTAAACTAAGGGTTGAAGTAGTCAATTTTTTGCTTTTCGAAGTATGGTGTGAGTGTGCATGCCTTCAAGTTATGCCATTTCATGCCGATCCTTCCTAGAGTCTTTTTAGGCAAGGAATCCTTTAAAGGTGATTTTGTCTGAATAAATGTGTGATAGAAAAAAAGTGACTTACAGCACCGGATATTCATTGGTAATCTCCCACCCAAGTACTAGCCATGGTTGACCTTGCTTAGCCTTCAAGATCAGATGGGATCTGATGCCCTTAGGGTAGTTCAGCAGGGCTCGCAGCAGATTTCCTGCCAATATTTAATCTTTATGATCTTAGTACAATACAATAAAAGTGATAGAGTGGAGTGAGACAATTAGGTTCAGCCTGAAAAATTACTTAACAACAGAACCACCAGAAATCCTACTGGAAACCAAGCATCAACTGCTTTAATCTTCAATAGGGTCCTAGCCAAGAGAGCTCTTTCAAACTGTGCACTGTACTAAGTTCCCAGGTTGGACAGGTCTACTGCAAATACCATAAACTTGACCTTCTGCCTTTGCTTCAGACATCAACACAAATCCTTCAGTGATCAAAGCTCTCATTTTAGAAGTAGTACTCAAGGATGTAGTTCTACTTCCATAGGCTAAAATTCTTCACCATATATCTATCTCTACTTGATCCCAAAAATGAAGTTATTTATACTTATATTAACAGAGATAATAAATGGTAATGGTATGTGTTCTGCATACATACATGCTCACATCTTTCACTTCAAATGCCAGTTTTTATATGGGGAAACTAGAATAGTTTGTAATTAACCCTTTGAAAAATAACTCTTCTCACCTCAATGTACCCTCCAAATCAACCTCCACCTAGATTGGAGTATCTTCCAATTCCACACTCACTCTAATGTTCTGTCCCATGTTGGCTATCATTACAGATACAGGCTGATGTTGACATAACCCTGTGTTACTTGGGAGTGGAAATTTGAATATTCCTCCATATAAAAAAATAGTATAAATAATAGTATTAATAGTAGTATTAATCTTTGCTTCCACATCAAATATTTCTTTCCTTCAATTTTATGTTAGTAATGTTATGTTAGTATATAAAAACTGAATATATCATTTTTTTCTGCTATGAAAACGTATCATATGTGTGTATATGCATTCAGTTTTTTAAAACTAAATTTCCAGCACTCAAAATATAATGTCATGCAAAACTGGTGTAGTCTGCTTTTTTCCATTACATATTTATTTTCTATAAGCCCAAGCCTTCACTATATGAGCCCCCTGCAATTAGAAATGCTCCATTCAAAACCATATGTTTATTGCTTCAGCATCAACCACTCTTGTCACTCCATTTCAATTAGCGGTGCAGATGGTTATGGAAGGTGAAGAGTGTTGTGCAAATGCATAAAGAGAAAGAATAAAAAACAACTGTGAGATTTTGCTGTTTGACCATATTTGCATCTAAGAGACAAAAGTATGAAAGCAGGAAATAGTATGGAGAAATAGAATGGATTTGAAAAATAGGTATATTTGGATAGCAAGAAGCAAGAAAACTGAAGGCAGGTTTACTAGAGCAGTAAAAAATAGATTTGAGGTACATCAGAGCAATGACTCCACCATTTTGCCCAAGGAAGGGCAATTCCTCTTAACTTGCAGAGGGCTCAACTCATTCGTATGGTATAAGAAGGGATGTTATGGACCACACCTGGAACCCCAAAAGGTGATAAATATGATAAAGGCATTCATAGGTTTGTATTAAGGAATCAGAGAAAAGTTGCAACACGAAAGCGGCCAAACAGCAACACCACTGCTGATTCGGTGTTTTCATTTTTCTTCTTCTAATCAATAACAGCTTTCAGAAGGTAGAGAACAATTTTCTACCAGAATAAGTGGACCTTCAACTGAATATCTGCAGCTCTTGGTAGGACATGAAGAGAACTCCTTAGAACACACTCTTATCTTTCTGTCCATTGAGAATTATTCAGGATATGCAGCTGAAATTTCCTGCCTTGGACAGATGGTAGATTCTGACTCTTTTTGCCTCTTAAAAGATTGTAGATAACAGGGGCTGCCTGTTAAATCCCACATATTTTCTTTTGATGCAGTGGCTTTCAAGCTATGTTCCAAAGAATCCTGGAGATTCTTCTGAAAGCTAACCATTCCCAAGGATCAATGATGACAGACAGATTTCTCTTTATTCAGTTTCCTGCCTCTACTGATCTTTTCCTGCGGTGTTCTGTCACAAGGGCTTTCTGTATGTTTCCAGGACATACTCCTGGAGTCTAAGCAAAAATGAGACCCATAAAGACATGGTCAATATGCCATACACATCAAAATCCTCTGAGGGATTCTGTAGGAAGAATCCCTGTAAGATTTCTCCAGATGTAATCTGATCAAAAGTGTCAACTAAGTTACTTTCTGGATGCCAAAATTACAGAGGCATCTATCTCAGCTACCTCTAAAAATCTGAGTGGGGAAACACAATATTCTGGAAGACACACGCAAGGACAATTCCTTGCCTGACAGCTCTGGTTTTCCAAGAGACAGATCAAGAGGCCTCCCCCAGTCATTGGATCATTCAAATGACTTGTGAAGGGGAAGAAGAAACGACGGACATTAATTAACAGATGGGAAAGGTTACCTTCCAATTAACCTTAAAAGTAATGGCAATGCTACCTCTATCAAATGCAGTATTCTGATATACAAAACTTAATTTCAACTAAAGCCAGTAAAAAGTATGAAACCAACTTTTTTTAAAAAAGTCAGAAGTTTGAAACCTACTTCTTTAGGGCCATGACAGTAAAGGAAAGTTTAGCAGGTGTTTTTTCTCTCATTAGAGCTGCACACTTTATTGATTTTGCTGTTGCAAGCAACAGAGCTTTCCTGATGCTGCTTTCAACTTGGTGTGGTGCTGTAGTTGTAAACTGTTCCATTAAATAACCAGGATGAGTATCAACTATTTGCAATGCATTAGTAAGGAGAAAAGGGAAGAAACAATAAAGACGCAGATGACTAGGACGGTTTTAAATGGTGTATTTTAATATTTTGAAAAATGTTTTTTAATATTTATGTATGTGAACTTGTGTCCCTTCGGGGTGAGAAGGGCGGAATATAAATGTTTTAAATAATAAATAAATAAAGATGGTGGTTCAGTAATGAACACTTTAACTGGGAGATTCAATCGCCTTAGCTATTTGGAAAATTGAAATAGCATGGCAATAACATAATAATATATGTGTTCACTTTAATTTACCAGAACAGTAAGATTTTAAAAATGAAAACTCAATCTATTTCTCTTCCCCCAAATACAAACAATGCACACTAAGTACTGTTAATCTATGAACTTATGCATGATAGAACATATCGTAGTCACCTGCTGCAGCCCAAGAAAAAGTATATCAATGCGTAAGAGATACCTATAAAGCTAGAAACTGTAAAACTCCTATGAACTCTCAATGCATTCCTTTAGTTTAAGCAATACTTGCATTATTTATTTATTTCTATCCTGCTTTTCTCCTGGATCGGGACTCAAAGCAGCACACATGCAAAAAGCAAAAACATAACACACAATTAAAAAACAGGAGCATCACCTACAGAATCCTATCTATAAAAATCATAAAAACCCACATTGGGTTTGGGCAGTATAGTACACAATACCCAGTTATTATTATTCCCATAAGACAAAGATGGCTTGATAGCACATAACACCAAATGGCTCAATGGCAAACTCTGTCCATTTAACATCATTGCTTTCCTTAAAAAATGTGTGTCAGGTGCTTCAAGTCACTTGTTGACTTATGCTGACCCTGTGAATTTCACAGAGTTTTCTCAAGGAATACTCAATAGGTGTTTTTGCCTGTTACTTCCTTTGAAATACAGCCTGCAGCACCAGATAGTCATTGTCTATCTCCTCTGCAAGTACTAACCAGGGCTCACACTACTTAACTTCCAAGATCCGACAGGATCTGGTGCCTTTATGCTCACTTAAAAATGACAGAATGTATTCTAAGAGCATTAGGCCAATGAAACATACTCAAGTACAATTCCCTCCTAGAGGCAGTAACACCATGTTTAGCTACCTTTATTTTGATCTTACAGTTCTATTATCAGATGGGGATTGAATTCAATTATGTCAAGATTTTTTGAAAAATAAAAGTATTGCAGGTCACCCACTGCACATAGCCTAGGGGAAGGCAACTGATCTTATCTTCCAGGAGCTTCTCTGAATTCATCATACTAATTCCTATTCACACAAGATGGGGAGTGGGAGGCGAACAGGGATTCTAGGCTGAGCCTTGCCCCAGTATCAAACCTTGCACACCCTACTCAAAGAAGCACTGATCTCAGCCATACCTCAGAATGAAGAGTTGCAATGAGGATTGCACACCCTACTCAAAGAAGGACTGATCTCAGCCATACCTCAGAATGAAGAGTTGCATTGAGTTTGATTGTGAACAGAGTTTTGCTCTGTGTTTGCATTGAGGAGGAAGTGGTGAAAGAAGCCTTTGCTCATACTTCTGAAGTCCCAGAATCCCAGAGTCCTCAGTATAAAGTGTACTGTGAGTGCTTACTGGGACACGTAATATTCCATGGAAGTTTTCTCAGCAATTTCAAGAAGCAAACTGTACTTCAGATGATGCTGCCAATGAAAAAGTAAATAGTCCTTTGATTGCAATATGGTTACAAACAATGCAGTCAGATAAAATCATGGGGTCAAGTTTGCTCTACAGTTGTTCCTCAGTAGGTCACTTTGAACGGGTACATTGATTTCTGTGATCAGAATTTTCCCTACATTATTGTTTGGACTTTCCTACCAA